GGGTGCGTTATAATTGGCTTTGCACAATCGGAGTAAGTAGTTTTATTTATGGTCTCAAAAATCACATTGGCACAGTCTAAAACAATTGGCAACACATGAGGGAAGATTTACTTTTCATAATTGTTTTTAAAAACAGACTTTAATTTTTAAAATTAAATCTTTAATCTCTTTACCTTTTTTCCTCCCGATTTCAAAAGGTTTTGTTATTTTGCTCCTCCTATGCATGCTCCTGGGTTTCAACAAAATACAGCCTTTTATCAGTTGCCAGATCAAACAGGCATACTTCAGGAAGCTGTACTTGCCAAGTAGCAATTTCACAACACAGCTCAATCTTTATTACTCTAATAAATCAAACAATACAAAGAAAATGAAATAAATGTCAAAATCTACAGCGCAAGATTCAAGCAATGGTCTGTAGTGCAAACGTACAATTAACTTTCACTATCATAACAACGTCCCAGCGAATATTTAGAAATACAACTCCGTTTCATCGATGGAAATCTGGTTAGGTTTTTGGAAGTAATTCCAGAGTTTAGCTGAAGGCACAGTTGATATCAGTGGATGTACAAGAGGCCAGAATTTGAAAGGTAGAGAAATCTTAAAACTTGCAGCGTGAAGGACATGAGAGGTTGGAGGGGGCAAGGCTACGGAAAGAGGAGATTTTGAAAATCAAGAAGTTGCTGGTCTATGTAGATCAGCGAGCACAAGGGTGATGGATAACTGGGATCTTGTGTAAGCTATAAGGTGGACAGCGGAGTTTGGATGAAGTTACCAGAGACTGAGAAGGCATAATGATAAATTAAGACAGAAATCTGGAGGCATTTATCGTTCCTGAATCATTGCCCTCTGCTAAACAATTAATGAAACATGTAGTGAGAATTCTTTGGTGTAATTCTAAAGGATGTAAAGGAGTTCCTTCTTCTCTTTAAGTAATGAGAGAAGCTGCAGGTCAACATTATATAGGAAATCATTAACTTCCAAAAACTTTACTTGCCTTAGGGGTGAGAGAGAAAACTCCCTGGCACTTGTATGTTCCAAAATTGATGGCTTGCTTCATTCTATTTTTGTTGCCTCTCAGAAAAGTTTGTAACAAGCCTGCAGGTCAGTTTTGTGCAACACAGCACTATCCAAGGAGCTCAGGTTAATGGGCCAGTGCCGTTTGTCCTTTTTCTTTTAAAGATAAAAAGGTTAATCCTGGAGAAAATGAAAATCAACTGTCAACCTGGGTTCAGGTGAAATGTTAATTCCAGGATCTGTCTGCTCCCTCGGGTGATACCAAAGATCCCATGGTGCTATGCAAAAAGATAGGATGTGCTTTCCTAGTGTCTAGGCTAATCGTCACTTTTCAACCAACATTAATCACTGAAGAAGACTAGCTATTTATTTCACTACTGTTTGTATGGAATTTTGTGTTTACAAATTGCCTGCTGTACTTCCTACAAGAATAAATACACTTCAAACAAAAGCATTTAATTGCTGAAGTGCTTTGGGATGTTTTCCAGGTTGTGAGAGGTACTACATAATTGCAAGTTTCGTTTTCCTTTGCTACATTAGGTTCTGAATACTGTTTAACTGTACATTGCTCTATTAACAAACCTACCCGCCATTCCCAACAAACACACTTCTACTTAAAAGTTGCTGTATATGGGTGGCACGATAGCCAAGTTGTTAGCATTGCTAGCTCAGAGTGCCAGGGTTCAATTCCAGTCTGAGGAGTGTGTGTGGAATTTGCATATTCTCTATGGGTCCACAATGTGCAGGCTAGGTAGATTAGCCACGTGAAACACAGGGTTACAGGGATGGCATGGGATAGACAGATCTGGCAGGGATGCTCTTTGGAGGGATGGTATGGACTCACTATGTCAAACAGTGTGCTTCCACAATGTAGGGATTCTATATACACACAGTCATACAGCATGAAAACAGACCCTTCAGTTCAACTCATCCTTGCCAACCAGGTTTCCCAAATGAGTCATGTAGCTATCCTAGGTCTTTTGAAATGTTGTAATTGTACTCACCTCCACCGCTTCCTCTGGAATTTTATTTCATATACACACCACCCTCTTGTGTGGAAAAAGTTGCCCCTCAGGTCCCTTTTAAATCTATCCCTTTGTACCTTAAATTTATGCCCGCTAGTTCTAGACTCCCTTGATTAACTATTAATTACAAAATTAGAGGGAGCGAGAGGGAGAACTTTTAGTTTCAATAATTAAAAGGCAACACAAAGTTGACAAGAGTAGTCACAAACATGTGTAGCAGTGGGAAGGGGCATTAAATTACTGAGACTGGAGAATTTGTAAATCAAAAGTTAATGACGTTAAAAGTTAATAAAACCAAAGGGTCCCAATTAACAACCTCTCAGTACTGAAAAAGGTGATCATGGAAACAGGAAACTACAGATCTGTTAGCCATATCAGAATCTATCAGAGGATGTTATAAGTGGACACTTAGAATATAAGGAAAATAAGAAACATTTCTGATGGAAAAATTATGTTCAATAAATTTGCTGGAAATTTTGTTGAGGATGTCACTGATAGAGTAAATAAGGGGAAACTAGTGGATGTTGTGTATCTGAATTTTCAGAAAGCTTTCAATAACATTTCATACAGGTTAGTAAACAAAACTAAACCACGGGGGAGGTGGTAATGTTTGGTATAAATTGGGAACTGGTCAATGGGGTGGGAAGACTCCTAATAAATGGAATTATTTTGACTTGGCAGGCTGGTGACTAGCGCAGTATCCCAGCCGTTCATAAAATCACTATTAAATATTTTGATACGATAGCCAAATCTAATAGTTCCAATTAGATGTTTTTACTATATCAGAATGTGTTCGGAGAAGGATGCAAAGAAGCTTTTCTATAGGGATTTGGACAGGCTGGGTGAGTGGCTGACGGAATAAAATGTGGATAACTGTTAGATTATTCACTTTAGTAGAAGGAAACAAGGTGCACAATAAACGAGATGCATTGATGTCCAAAAGGGACCTGGATTGCTTTGTTCGTAAGTCATGGACAACTAACTTTCAGAAGGAGGAAGAAATTTGGATGGCAGATAAATCTGTTTACTGTAAAGGTCAACATCTCGAGTACAAACGTACAGATGGTTTGCTTCTATTATATTAAAATCTGTTAGCTCAATGCTAGACATCTAGTTTGCGATGTGGAATAATGCCAACAATATTGGTTCATTTGCTGCACTGCTGAGGCTCCATTAAGGATCTCCTCCTTCACTTTTACCTTCATCTGGAGTGTGGTGACCCTCAAGTTAAACCACCACCAGTCTTCTCTCTCTAATGATATGGTGGATGCGGAGATTGGTGGGGTGGAAAGTGCGGATGAAGGGGATCTTGTCATGCTCAAAACGCTTCTGCCAACTCCAACCAGACCCCACCACCCAGAACATCATCTACTTCCCATCCCTCTCTGCCTTACGCAAGGACAATTCCCTTCACCACTTCTTAGTTCGCACCACACTCCCCCACCAATCACTCCAAGCCACCCGGTACCTTCCCATGTAACCATAAATGATGCAACACCTGCCCACACACCACCTCCCTCCCCTCCATCCAGGGCCACAAACAGCCCTTCCAAGTGAGACAGAGCTTCACCTGCATCACCTCCAACCTAGTCCATTGCACCCGCTGCTCCTGATGTGGTCTTCTCTAAATTGGTGAGACCAAACGTAGACTAGGTGACCATTTCATGGAGTATCTTCGCCTGGCCCGTAACGGCGAACCTAACCTCCCGGTCACCGCCCATTTCAACTCCCCACCCCACCCTACTCCCCCTCCCCCTCCAGTGTTGCAGAACCTCAGAACATAAATTTGAAGAATACCTTATCTTCTGCCTGGGCACCCTACACCCCGGAGAACTCAACATTGTTTTCTCCAATTTCAAAACGACCTTTCCACCCATCCCCCGGCTCCCCTTCCAGCTACACCTCCTCCCTTCCAACCGCCAACCAGATTCATCTCAACCAACCAGTTTGTATCTGCCACCAGTGTCCGCCTATTACCAGCATTCCACTTCCGCCCCTTTATCTGCAGCTCGCCCTACCCCCACATCCAGTCCTGAGGAAGGGTAATAGCCGAAATGTTGACTGCTCCTTTCCTCCAGATGCCGCCTGGCCTGCTGCGTTCTTCTAGCCTCCTGTTTGTCTACCCCCTTCGTTATTTCCCAATTTCAGAGCAGCATCACTGCTATATTTTCACAGCAACAATCATAATATCACATTCTGGATATCAGTTGACACAAGGTGTTTTGATGCGATCACATGCCCTTTGGGACAAGGTGCAACAATCCAAATTTCATACTGATGTCACACAGTGATTTACATCTTATTAATCTGGACTCGGTTTGAACACAAGGTTCAGCAGTGAAAGGGCAACGTACTAAACCAGTGGGGTACAGTAACAGATATATTAATAGATGAATAACAGAAACCTAGACTGATGAAATGGTGACATGTTTAAATGCTACAACAATAACTGGTGAATTAAAATTCAATTAAATAAATCTGCAATTCAAAAAAAAAAAAAAATTGGCATTAGTAATGGACACCATAAAAACCACAGGATTGATGTAAAAACCAATATAGCCCATAGTCTGCATTAGGCTTTGCCTGCTCTATGTGACTGTAGGCCCACAACAACGTCTTTTCAAAAAGGCAGCTTATTAATGCCACCAGCTTAGAGTGTAATTATGAATAGTCAATAAAAATGCTGGGCTCACTAGCAATGTCTCCATTCCACGAATGAACTAAAAAACAGCCTCCAAGTGTTTGAAATGGAGATAAACACTTTCTATTCAACACTCCACATCTCAAGGGCTCATTTGGTTTTAATGCCTCATGAACCTCTCAAAATTCTTCAACAGCTTCATGCAGAAATTGGCATATCAAACTTTGGCTGGTGTTTCAAACCCTAGAAGAAAGCAATTACTCAATTGTTAACAATCACTTTTAAACTGTTATAAATTTTCAGAAACAAAAAAGACACAGTAAAGGAAATACTCCACTATTTAATACATTGGCATTATATTATGAACACTCAGTGTTTGAGAATATTAGCACAGATTACAATATAATTGGAATACAGTATGTACAACACAGGTTTATATATAAGGGATTGAACAAGATTTCAACCTATTTACCAAACGTAACATTTAAATGTAACACATTCTTTCAAAGCTGAAACACAAATCATCAGGTTATTTCTCAATAGTAAGGCCTGTATGGACTCACAGCAGCAATGAAATGCCCAACTCACCTTGGCATTGAGAAATGAGACAGACAGCTGACAGGCTTTACTCTCACTCAGTGGTTAAAATTTGAAGAAAAAAGAACGTTAAGACTTTTTTTTTTAAAAAGTGACAACATTATTTAACTTGGATTTCCAGAAAATTACAAAATGGGAATGGTCAGAGCGAAAGAAAAGCAAACGTTTAAATCACGGGTTTATATGCATCCAATCTATAGATAGTCCCACTAGATGTGATGTACACAGGAACCACACAGAAGGAAGAAAATTTATTATACATCAGTTTAGGAAGAGGGAACCAACTCTGACATTATTGTGCCATGCAACCATACAGGCCTCACTAAACTGACTCTGGACCAGGTTTGTTTGCAACTCATTTAATTCTCATTTCCAGGTGGGGAAAAACAAAAAAGACACTACTGAGGGGGAAAAAAAGCAAAGAAAATTAGTTCTACATATTTGCATACATTCCAACCACTCCCATTATTGAAATGTATCATCCCTTCCACAGGCAGCGGCACTGACTAGAGTGTCTGTCAAAAGTCACATCCTCAATAACTAAAGACTTCAATCTCTTACATAATTTATAAAGCGAATAACCTTGATGGTTAAGGCCGCACATCACGCTAATGAATTTTTAAATTTTTTTTCCTTTTTACAAAATATATACATACTTAAAATGATTTTTCTTCAAGTAGCCTTTACCTTGCATAAATAAATGAACTGCAGTTTCAGACAATGCTAAAAACGTTTCAGCTCCGATTATGTTGTAGCTTTAAAAAGCTTTTACTCCTGATCATGTTAACCCTTTCACCCACTCTCTACCTCAAATTAAATTTGCTCATTGCAACAAGGTCCTCTATTTATCTCTGAAGTTAAGCTTATATCAGCAGTGAAGCAGAGTGTGCTTCTGTCAACACAAAGGTTTATATGTTACTGTCTTCAGTTTGTCAGTTCTGTCCTCTTCCTTTCCCCACTTGATGACAACTCACATTGGGTTACAGTTCCTTTGCACAAACAACTGCTCAACACACAACCTCCTACAGGTTATTTAATTATGATTTGCCTCAGTCTATTCATTCAACACTTGTCCTAAAGTTCAGTTATTGCAAGGCATTCAGATTCCCTTACCAGACTCTTCACTTACCTGGCCCATAACATGGATTCCAAATGCAGGTCCAGTTGACTATCCAATACCCTGGATTCAAATTGTTTCATTTATGCTGCTAAGTTTTCTTTCCTCATGGGGGAAAGGAAGGACTGGGGGAGAAATCTAGAGACCTTGTTCCATTGAAACCGATAGAACTTGGAAGTTTCAAGCATCAAAATGTAGGCAGGAATCGTACTTTAGAATTACAGGCTGAAGAGCTTTTTCACAGCAGGAGGTTCAAAAGTTTTTGCTGACAGTTCCAATCAACATTCCAAGACATTTTTCATTTGAATCCAATTTAAATTCACAACTCAAAATAGTCAATGTTTTATTAGCACTTTGCTCTCTTCATTTCCCTTAACAAATACGTTAAAGCTTAAAGAACAGAACATTTTTAAACACTTTCCACTTAAGATCTAAAAATACCTCAGTTGCACGTGGATGGCTGTGGTGATCATGTTGGATTTCAAACAGCAACACCTCAGATCTGGTGTTAAGTTGGCCCAGAAAAATGGGTACTGTCACTTTAAAAATGGAAATAAATTATTCACCTTTCTGTAAGATTGCATTGTAAAGAAGGCTGTCTCCCTACAGCACATACCACCACCCTCCAATAAGAAAACTCCAACCTTAAAATGTTTACACAATGCTGCAGTGTGGAATTAGTCTCAATTTCCAACACAGCTGATGATTCTATTGCTCAATTTAAAATGGAAGCAGCAAGTGGCATAGTAAAGCTTGGCAGCTGTAACAGCTAAAGCCAAGAGCCACTGATCCATCCCTTTGCTAAATTCAACTTCAGCTGGACAACTAAAGAATAAAACATAAAAGGTAATCTAGTTAATCACCAGGATTACCAAGCGAATCCATTGGCAGTTCTTGTGTAAATTCAGAGCTTGAGCAAATATTTGCTCTTCAGAATGCAACAACTCAGGCAAATCACAAATCAGTTCTCCGATTATTTAACTTAATACCATGCCTTTACCATATTAGGCAAGCACTCAGCAAAAATGTCAGCAACACTTCCACATTTTGCGCACCAATAGTGATCTTCAGAAAATTGTGAAATTAACATTGAACTGGAACGATCTTTTTTTTTCTTAAAAAAAGGCTGTAATCTCATGTTTTACCAGGAATGCATCTCACTGTGCAAAGCAACTTGGCAAAGCAATCTCATCTGAGGAGATCTTCCACTTATTTGATCTCGGAGGTGCAGAAACACCATTGCATAATACTATATCCTCACTTTGACTGCACTGTCACTTCACCCCTAATCCCTCTTTCTGGAATGATTTTTTTTTTAAAAAAAGTCAACAAGAGGTGAAATGAGGTGGCCTGGTTGCTTGGGTTTCTATTAGTCAATGCTTCCACATTATTTCTTCAGCTTCCTTTGTTAACTCACTCTAGTCAGCTATTTCTCAAGAAAGAGCTTACAGTGCCTCCAAGTTTAGAATTGTAGAGATCGCACTCCCTCCAGACCACAGGAGACTCCCACAACTTTCTATTAAAATAGATGAATTACCACTTAAACCACACACGAAGGTACAATGATCATTTGCATTCAAAACTGCATGCCATGGGGCTGATGGACTGCACTGATGTGACACAATATCTTCCATTCTCATGCTTTTGAAAATCCTGCACATGCTCAGAATAGCAGTATAGGTTCCTCGTTAGCTCTGCTGTATCGGCATTATGTTAAATGAGGCATGAGGGCACTTTGTCCCACACACAGTGAGAGCATCAGTGTTTCAAATTTCCAGCAAAGAGTTTTGTTGCTGTTTATTTCATTTTTGAATCCATCCACGTTATGTTGCAATAGTGACTCCACCTATCGCTTAATATTCAGCAATATCCATTCCTGTATTCGTCAGGAATGTCTTATCATAACAAAAGTTCATAATTTCTATGCAAGCTCAAACAGACTTTTATAAATTCATGTGCGGTGGGGCTTTAACTGCAGGGATTGGCCAAGGTCAATCTTTGTGGTATTGTGTCTTTTAAGATGTGACTGCTGCTGGCTAGATCTACATGGTGGTCTTGGCCTATTGCTCAAAAAGTTGACTCATCACAGAGTGCTTCAGGGGAAGTTCTCTAGCTTCTCCAGTGTCCCAACACAGCAAAATCCTGCTTCAGTAATAGCCAGTGCTCTTGAATTCTCGGGCCACAATATTTTTAATGATGAGCTATCCAGGAGTTAGCAACTGCCACATGCCAAAATTGCAAGTGGAACAGCTGGCCCTCCAATCACCACCAAGCTGTTTTACCATGATGTTGTTATTTCAGAATAATTCCGGGGAAAGACAGTCAGCTTAAGTTTATCCATCCAGAAATACAATCAAACTCCCTTCCCTGTTTCTGCATGGGCACTATTTGAAAACCAAATGTGGATTATTATGGATGTCAAAATGGACTAGATTGCGATTCTGTAAGAAACTTTGAATCACATCTCAAAAGATGCATAGGAATAGGTCAAATCAGTCTCTTGAACTTATCTCAGAATTGCATAAGATTGATCCCCCTACTTCAATCTTTGGGGGATCTGTTCAGATGGTATGGCATCCAGCACAGCAGAGAATTTTCAAATGGGAACAGGACATTAAAACCATGCACGTGATGCCGAATATTATGCCAATAAAATATAAATGCGGGAAGTATCTAACAAAACCGGTCTTAAGTTCGTGACAATGGCTGTTGACGGATCAAACTATATCAATTTTCCAAATGTTTGGCCCTGTTACCATAGCAGAAGAAAAATGGGAGCCCCGTAAACAGCTATAGATGCCACTGGCAGCAGCTGGGGATGCCTTTAAGAGATCTAGACAGCAACAAGGAAAATAATGTGCATGTAACTTCTGTCTGCATAGAGCATTTACTACAGTGAAACATCAATGTGCTGACGGTAGACCAACAGACAACCCACAGGGACATTATTCACACAGGATCAGGTTTTAAACTAGAAATACTGAACTGAAGGGCCAAGCAAAAATTTGTATGTTTGAGAACTTGAACCTTGCATCGTGCCTGCAAATGCTGATGCCATCATGAAACCCAAATCAGAAGTGCTTGGGTATTACAGACATAGCCATGTTTCTCTTAACTCCTAAGTCATCAACTAAAGCCTTTGGAGCTTATCTTTACTGTAGGAAGTGGTGAATTACTGTAGGAAGTGGTGAATTAAATGGATGGCACAGCACTGATACCAAGTCAATGCAGGACATCTGATATTTAAGATATATCCTAGTGGCATATTATGAACATGGCATGCAAGTCAGCTGTAAAAACAAGCAGCATTTGCTGAAAGGACTCTTAGTGCAAAGGCATTCCCGTTAGGCAATATTTAGAACAAGGAGGAAGAAAAACATACAAAACAAAAACTGACAGCTTCAGCAACCACAAAGAAAGAAAGAAACACAGTTATAAAGGAAAACTGCAAGTGAATTTAAACTTCATCAAAACCACCAGTGACCAAGGTCATGTAGAGAAGCAATCCACAGCCAGAGTACGAACTTGGCAAAATGTGCTCCAACAGGAATTTGACTCCCTCTTGAACACTATTGTAACTCTGGTGGAAAAACCACGTGAAAACCCTAGTCATAGGTTTCAGTGTAAACATGAGAAAACTGATCTCTCACCAAAAGTTATAACAGCCATTTGGGAGCGCCCCAAAATAAATGTATGTTATAAATGGGTGCGAACTGGTAGAAAAACAACATGATTAGTTCTGTACTATAACATATTGTGCTCTAAAAAAATATGACTAGCAAAGAGGGAAATAAATAAACATAATAAAATGTACAAATTTTCTTAACTATCATTTTACCATTATTTTCATCTTACACGCTGTTGTAAGGGTCATAATATATTGAGAAATTGGGATCTAAAGTAGAGGAAAATAAATTTTAGTTTTCAGTGCTGTGAAAATCTGATCTGATTTTCTTTGATAGCGTTCAAAGTACATTTTGACCTGAGTTCAAAACACAGTTTCGAAGTCACAATTTCAGCTAAATGACCAGCAACTTGCCTGGGGAAAGCAAGTACAATCAAGAGGGCAAGGGGACATTTGAGACAATGGAGAACAGGCTGGAAGCAGATTCATGCAGGGGAAGAGGGCCCCAACAGCAAAGGTTTTATTAGCAGTCTCCAATTGTTCAGGGCTAGGGAGAAGTACCGAGTTGCTTAGAAGTCAAAGAAAGCTCCAGAGGAGAAAAAGTCATCCTACAAGACTGTTGAAGACATGAGTTAAGGGAAAAGAACTTGCACCAATGCACAGAAATTTGAAAGGAGATAGATTATAGCCACACCAGTTGAGCAACAACCTTAATGCAGGGATTGAGGTGAACCTTAGCTGACATTTCAGAATCTGCAAGTGTATTGCTGGGTTAAGAGGGATGAATCTTTCTTTCGCAATGAGATTATTCCTGTAGTTCTCTATCAATTGTAGGGGTCTTTTTCCTAATGAACTGTTCTGTTCTTTTGTCAAGCATACACTGGCAGCATCTTGCTAATCTATTTAAGTGATTGACCACCACAGTAAATAAAAAGAATAATAAAACTTACAGTCTATCAAGCCAGGATTTACTGTGGGATTTAACTTGTCCAGTATTACCATCAGTTAGGGTCATAATAGTACAAATGCCAGGAAATATGTATCTACTGCAATGATTGTTATTTACACTGCTGCTAGATGCTCCACGTACATTTGATTTGTAAAAGGGTATTTTTTGGAGGGACTGGGCTCGACGTCCAGCTAATGTTCCGAAGAATGGTCACTGGGCTCAAAACGTTATCTGATTCGTCTCCACAGATCTGCCGAGTTTCTCCAGCAAATGTGTTGTTTCTTTTCTCATGTTCCACAGCCCTTTCTGTTCACCACTGTACAGACTTAAAACAGTGCTGAGACAAACCACAAATACAGCAACAGTTCCAGTCTTTATTTCTCCAAAACCTAGCTCTTAGCACATCCCACTTCCTTTATTGTAAAGGCAGCCTGAAAGTATTACCAATTACCAGCAATACAACTTACTCAAAGAAGTAGGACATACTAAGGTCTGGGCTTTGGAAAGATAAAGATTGAGGCATTTATATACCTGTGGTTTATCTCAACACTGCTTCATCAGCAAGTCTGTACAGTGAACAAAACAGGCCATGAAATAGGAAAGACATCGACACTAGTCCCTCCAAAACTACCTTTTAAAAATTAAATTGCACAGGGAGCACCTGTAACAGTGTGAATACCAATCATTTCAGTAGACACATATATCCTGGAATCGGTATCATTATGATCCCAACCAATGGCTTAGGAAAGTGTCACTGATCTTCTAGATTCAACCAAGTTTCTATATGCTCAATAAAAATACAAAACATGATGCATGCTTTCACTTCCCTCAAATCAAAATGAAAAACTTTAACATCTTCATTGCACAGTTTAATTTTAAGAAGTTATCTGTATTTAGATCCAGCCCTGACATCATGAGATGTGCTTTAATGCAAGTTTTAAATCCCATGAATATGGAAAAACAACTTACACATGCTGGTGTGACTCAGTAGTGTTTTAAACCTGAGACAGGAACCATAAGCTTGGGAGTGTCAATGTGGAGTAATACAGTACAAAACAAACAGAGGTCACTGGATAAATGCTAAAACATTTGTTCTACATTCTTCAAATTATTAGAAAAAGCTTGTCCTTTTTATTACTTAGAAATAAAGAGAATCATTTAGCTAGTAGCTAAGTCATAAAAAAATTTATCTGTGTTGAATTTGCTGGTTTCAGTCAGGAGGATGAGTGAAATATTTTAGTTTTCACTGGCCATGGTCACTGAAAACAATTTCAACTCAGGTTCCTGACCTGCATTTCTACCCAGCAACCGGGGTCACATTTCAAAATGACAACAGAGGTTTGTGTCTGAACTGAACCCATCTGCGAATAGCACAAGCATATTTAAACAGCTCACCAAAACTCATGGGTCATGGTTCTCACTTTTTACGCTAGCTGCTTGCTCATGGCACATAAAACTGCATGCGCTAAGGAAGGTTTCAACATGGTCAGGTGGGGAGAGTCAAGGAAATATCTTTTTAAAAAAGTTCAGAATGGTAAAGAAGCTAAAGGACAGGAGGTGGACGAAGACAACTAAAGAAACTTGAGAGAGTTGCACTTCTAGAAGCGGCATCCAATAACCTTCTTTCCTCAGAAGTAATAGCAGGATCCACTGTGGGTTTGGACCAACAAAATAAAACTCAGTACAAAATTTCACAGCCAAGAATTCAATTATACAATTCTCACCCTTTACCATGCAAAAAGTGACATGAGTGAGCAAAAGGGTTAGGATGCAGTTTAAAACTTGGTTATGCCACCTAGCACTCTTGTACTGCCAACTTGACTTATATAATTCGGAAACAGGTTAAAGATTTTTCCCCACTGCATTACATGAAAACCAAAATTTCTTTTTTAATCCAACATTGATTTTAAAAAAAATAAATTATCCATATTTTTGGGAAATCTCTGAATTGAATCATACAGTGACAGAACTAGTAAGTGGCTGCACCCACTGACATGGGAATCACCCACACTGCCTGGTAACCATGTGATCCGTCATAGCCACAGTGATTGGACAGTCCTTACTGTACAGCCCCACAGTCCACCAGGATCACCACTGATGATGCATTCAATCGTCTCCATTCTAATGCTATTTAAATAGATTTGCAAAAAGTAAAGTAGGTGTCATAGAACGATGCAGCACTTGCAGAAACGCTGCCGACCACCGCTCACTGATGCAGGAGGGGTCACTGGGGCGAAGTAAGCGTGGACTTTGATGTTTGGTAGGTGCGTCTGCAATTAATTAAAAAAAGATAAGAACCAAGTTTATGAACTGTATGTATTCAAAACAAATAAATAGTACAACTTTATAATTCGCCACAAATTGAAATACCATCCATCCAAAGTCCAATGTTATCAGTTCACATCTGTATGGCAATGCATTGTTTGAGGACATTTACCAATTTCTGCTGTCAGAATCACTGGTCATGCTTTTAGCACTGAGAGAAGCTAGTGGGGAGGCGGAGAGGGGTTTTGATGGTACATTTACAGCTTAGGGGCTGCGACTCAAAAGGCTTGCATGTACATAACCAAATCAGAAGGTTGTGGTTTCAACTCCTGTTCCTGAGTCTTGATGCCAAAATCCAGGGTGGTACTCCACTGCAGTACTAAGGGAGCACTGCACAATCAGAATTGTTGTTATGATTCCTCATTTGAAAGATGAAGCCCCTTTCATTCTGTCAGGTAGATGCAAAAGTTCTATTCTGAATTGGGAGTTCTACCCTAATCTCCTAGGGCCAAATTCATATCTTTTTCAATCAAATAATTAGAACAGATTATCTGGTCTTTAATTACATTACGATTTGTGGGACCTTGCTACGTGTGTACTGGCTGCCTATTGTGACTCCATGCCAAAAGTATTCAAATTAGCTAGAAAGCATCCTGGACTCATGCAACTTAGTGGAATTCTCTACCTTAGAGGGTTGTGGAAGCTCAAATCATTGAGCATGCTCAAGACAGTGATAATTAGACTTATAGCTGCTAATAACATGGAAGGGAAAAATGGCAGAGGTAAATGATCTATAATGGCAGAGCAGACAAATGACCTACTCCTGCTTGTATGTTCCTATCAAAAGTGCTGTGATTTCTAGCTCTTTCCTTCAAATATCAACATGTCTATGTCAGAGTCTTAAAAATGGAAGTAGAAAACAAAGCTAAGCAAAATCATCCTATTTACCTGTCATGCTGTAATAACAGACCAGTGCCACTAGATGATGCTACCCATCAGTGACAATTACCTTTTGCTCGAGTTTACCTTTGATCTACCAGCACAATAGATGCAGTGGCAATTTCTGTGCAGTGAGAAACATGGTTCACGTTATACTGGACTCAAAATGTTAACTCGGTATCTGTGCAGCAAAAAGGTCAGACCTGCTGAGTTTCTCCGACGTTCTGTTTCAGATTTCTGGCATCCACAGCATTTTGCTTTTTTATGATGATGATACATTAAAAGTGTTCAGCTGCTGCTTTCCTTCTGAACTACTGCCCTCGAGTTAAGACCTACCCCTTTCACAGCAAATGAGTAGCCAAATGTGAGCAGAACTACACCGAGATAAGACACGCAAAGCAACCTGAACCACAGTACCTGCAGGCACTCAACAAACCCCCACCAACCAATGAAATCACAGACAACGAAAACAGAAATTCCTGGACAACCTCAGCAGGTCTGACAGCATCTGAAGAGAAATCACAGTTAACATTTCAGGTCCAGTGACCCTTCCTCTGAACAGAATAAAATCAGATCTGATCTCTGGCTTGAAAGGAACCTCTGAAATAACTCATCCAAAGTTTACACACCAACTAGACTGGAGGACACGCATTCATAAAGTAATTGTGCATTTTACCCAGAAAACATGATTTTCCTCCTAAAAGTAAACCCTCTGATCTGCATAAGAAACACCAAACAAGGCTCACGATTGCACAATAAAAGCCATTAAACACGAAATGTGGGATAGTTGAAAATTGTGGACTATGTATTAGATTCTAGCTACAACCTAACGAATGAAAACGAGTATAGTTCAAACAAACAGACCAGGAGAAAATGACACTAACCCGAAGTCTCTTGATCCCAGCACGCGTTATCTGTTGACAGTCATATAGCTCTATTCTCTCGAGACTGTGACAGTTCTTTAGATGTTCAAGTGACGCGTCAGTGATCAGCGGGCAGTTATCTAATTCAATTACTTCCAATCGATCATGAGCACAGGCCCCATTCCCAAGATGGCGAATTCCGTCGTCAGTGATCAATTCACAGTGTGATAAACTCTGCACGGAGTGGGGGGAAATGCATCAGATACATTAGCTCAAATTTGTGCAGTGCCTGCAACAGCAAAGCTGCCTCGAGTATTTAAAAGAGATGAATGAGATGTGAAAACCGATTCCATGCCAGGAAGGGATAGATCAGTGGACGGATTTGAAAAGTTTGGTTAAAACGAGCTACAAGAACATTTAGGGTGGGGAGGTGAACTGGGATTAACAAAGGTACTTTGGCATCTGGGGTTGAAGCGACAGAAAAGGATACAAATAAGGCCAGAGTCAGAGACTTGGAGTATTCAGGTGAAATAAGTGGGAGGGTGAACCCCTGATCAGATGGCACTGGGAGAAGGTGAAAGAGGGATTTAAATCCAGGAGTTGAAATCATTTAAAAGCACAGGTTCTTCAAGTATAGAAATGGCGGTGGTTTAAAAGTCTGTTACATTCAGGTGCTACCAGCCCAAGCTCCTATTTAACATGTTCCAAATCACCACTGTGATGAGTTTGTTTGTTTTTCTATCAAATGGAAGTTTCCTGCAAAGGACGCTTAGTCACATTCCAAGTATTTCGGAAACCTTTGCCTTCCGGCATTTGTTAGGAAGAGAAGAAAGGGGAAAGCGGCACATCAAGCAGAGAACAAATCCTAAAAGTCAACAGCATAGAAAATATGAAGCCATTATAGCAGAAACAGCAGTAAAGTCATCTCACACAATTAGGGGAAAACATATCACAATAACAGCAGCAAGCCATAAATCTCATTAGCAGAAATAAGAGAACAGAACTGTTTAATGAAACAGTCAAACAGACAGAAAAAGAAGAAGAACAGGCACATAAATCTACTGCAGAATTTTTATTATTGAAGTTGGGTGTCTGCCACTGTCAACTTTTTACTTTTATAGGGTGTAAGTAGGGCCTCTCTGGGGCAAAAATTGGACATGACATGATGTTAAGTGATAGACTGGAGCTATCAATCACAAGAGGCAGATTTCATAATCCAACACTTGAGCCATACATGTCCACACAAGTCCACACAACTCTAGATACGACTGCTGATCATTCAACCTGTCAGTATTTTAGACAGATACATAAGAACATGAGGAATAGGAACAGGAGTAGACCATTTGGCCCCTAGAGCTTGTTCCACCATTCAACAGGATAGCGGCTAATCAGACGTTCCTCACGTCCACTTTCCTATGTTTTCTGCCATTATTCTCGATTCTCGATCCCCCATACTGATCAAAAATCTATCTCAGCCTTAAATATACACAAGACTCTGACCCCACAGCTCTCTGTGGAAAGGAGTTCAAAAGACTGTCAATCGTCATAGAAGAATTTCCCATTCATTTGTCTTAAATTGGCATTGCTTTATTCGGAGACAATGCTCTCTGGTCCTAGGGTCTCCCATGAGGAGTAAACATCCTCGAAGCATTTACCCTGTCAAGCAAGGCAAGAGCAGTATTGCTATTTGGCTTAAATTATCACTGCAAGTCAATGTCCTAGTGGCCAGAGTGGTTATTGGTGGGTGAGCAGCAGGAAATGCGTCATTCTTCCGTTCTGAAGTTTTAACAGCACCTAAACATACTCGGCATCAGAGGGAGTTAGGGAGGAGAGCAGGAAGGGGAAGAATCAAAGGAATGAAATAGAACAAAGATGCGATATGGAAGTTATCACGATTTGCAAATTGGAACGATTTTGCATTTCAATGCTGCGCAGGCTAGAATTTTGAGAACACATTGAAATATTATAAACTCAGATGAATCTTGAGGAAAGCATCTTATTATAATGATGAGCATTAGGTACAGATGCTGTGTTGGAACAACAAAGGCTAGAGTTCCTGTATCTTTGCTGATCAACATATTCAAGCCTTTTAAAGACGATTAAGAGAGAGTTGATCAAGAGGAGGAACTAATCGACCCTAATTTCTACGGAGGGGAATTCAGAACACAGTACATCAAATTACAAGTTCAGAGGCGATATCAAGAAGCACATTTCCACAAAGGATAGTGGAAATCTCAAACTATGTCTCAACAACTGGACAGCAATTGAAAATCAGAATGAAAACTGATAATACCCTTGCCTAACAAGAACTTATTGATTATGAAACCATAGCAGGTAGATGTAGTTATGCTGCAGATCAGCACAACCGAACGGCAATGACGAAAAACAACGAACCGCTCCAGTTCTTATCTTTCTGTTTCTACTCACCAATACTTGAAGCCGTGGGCAGTAGATGGAAAGCTGAATTAAAGTATTGTCTGTAATCTGTTGGAGAAACAGAAGTAAATTGAACGAGTGAACATGGGTCACTGAAATATACTGCTCATACTTTCCTAACACCATGGAGAGGGTAGCTTACCAGCACCTTTTCAAAGGCAATTAGGGATAGGCAATATGTACTGGCTTAGCCAACAATACCTACATCATGAATGAAGTTAAAAAGAAAAACACAGCTGGGGTCCAATAGCCATTTTACCACGTTTTTCTGATGGGGATGTAATATTTGCCTCTTTTGATAACTGATAGAAGAGATGGTGCAATTCTTAGATGCTTCTTCACAAAGGTAACTGTCCAAGTCAAAATTGTTAATACTTAAAAAAACAATTTATTTCTTCACTTCAGTTATTCTTTGATTCTCTAACAAGAAGTGAACAGCCAGTTTGTGCCAAGTCAGCAAGGTTTAGGCAAGGAGGAAAGTAACAATTTCTTTGGGGAGAAGTGGACTTTGATCATTTCTTGGATGCAAGCTTTGGTACAGGTCCAATAGGTACTGTCCAATTTTGCCATAATGAATGGCTTTGCAGGGCACTTTAGAGGGGAATGAAGTAGTCAGGAATAGGAGTTACATTTAGGGCACAGACAGATAGGGCAGCAGGCTTTTCCCACCCCCCCCAAAGTGCATTATTAAATCAGTGGGTTTTATAACCTTGACAAATTCATGGTGACTTCTACAAATACCAGATTTGTATTTTCAAACTTTTCATAAAACAAAAATTAACATTTCCAATTGTCATGACTGAATTCATGCTTTGAACATTGAGTAGAGGTGCTGGTGTTGGGCTGGGATGGACAAAGTCAGAAGTCACATGACACCAGGTTACAGTCCAACAGGTTTCAGGGCACTGCTCCTTCATCAGGGTGAAATGGAGGGAAGCATACAGGCTTATGTACTTCCCTCCACTTCACCTGCGATAGGGTTAGGGTTAAGGAGCAGCACTCCAACAGCTTATGATTTCAAAGAAAGTTGTTCAACTATAACCTCATGTCGTGCGACTTCGGACTTCAGCATTAACAGTACAGTAGCATAACTACTACAATATAACACCCCTGCATGGGTTCCTGCTTCCAATTAAAACTCAGTGAAGGCCCAATTTTGAGCTGTCAAATCTGCCCCTACTCTATCCCACTTAGCATGATGGAAGGGATCCTCTGCATAATGGTCCAGCTATAATCCCCTACATGGGCGCTGAATATCCCACCAGCACAAAAATCCAGGATCCTATGCAAAGACTGGTCATTAAGGACAGTAACGTTTGAAACTGTAACTTTGAAAAAGAATTGTTCTCGTGAAACAACTAGAGTAAAGGGGAATGCTGCTGGAAAAGGAAATATCCTACTTGCTGCAAGTTAACATGCAGCGTGTGTCATGTGTAAGTACAAGCTTCGTCACCAGACAAAATGTGTCATGAGGAAAACATTAAATTACGATTGGTACAAACAGAATTCCATATCGTTCCAGAGCTTTTGGTTGAGCTAAGTTTTCCAGGGATCTTTTAATCAGTCATTACTGCAGCCTTGCAAAAACAGACATATCATGGATTAATTTAACATTTGATGGGCAAAAGGTGACCATACATATTTCACAATATATTATATCAATTTAGTTCTGGCTCCTATGAGTAGGTACGTCAAGAAATTTTAATTTTCAATGCTAATGTAAGGCTGGAATGAGGTTAACGTACGTACGATGGTCCCAGAATTTTATGCACTAAAAAGACCAAAGGCAAGTAGATATATTTTTTAAGAAGTTCTTTCAGGAGACGAGAGAGTGTGTCTTTTGTTGCTCATCATTAACTGCTCTAGAGTTCTGTAGGTGTTCCACCCAGGGTTGAACAGTAAAATCTTTAGTTATTAGAACTAAAAGTTAGTTAAGTTGTAGAATTTCTGACTGAATCAGAATGGGACAATGGACTAAACACAAGATCATTAAAAATCGGAGCAGGATTAGGCCATTCAGCACATCAACTCCAAGGAAATTGTTGCAAGGTTATTTTTAATGAAATACATCATATTTTGGTTTTAAAAACACCTTCAAACACGAGCTACAAAATGATTATCCAAAACGAAAAATAGCAAACTACGAAAAATAGCAAACTACGAAAAAAGATACTGAGTTTACTCGTCTTTAAGTAAATGTTTGTACCTACTTAAACCCTGTAACCTGCAGGGTTGAACATCTGCACAGAAAACAAACAGCTCAATCTATATTGGGCTTCATCAGCCATGGTCTAAATGTTCAGCCCTAGCAATTGTTCCTTAAATGCAAAGATCATACAGGTTGTATATTTCATTACAATTACATTGCAATTTTAAATTAATGCACCAACTGAACTAATTTTCCTCTGCGTTAGGATGTTCTGAGCCCCTGCCAAGGTTTAAACACATCATTAGGTTAAAAAACCAGCACAATACCGAGAGAAAAAAAAAAGTGCTGCACTGTTAGCAATGGCATTCTTTGGAAGAATCCTGGGTATTCTCGTGATTCAAGTTGACATTCCCCATTCAGTCGCACCTCCCTGCCTCAATCACCTCTAAAACAAGCTGATAAACTGGTCATTCGTCTCTCTCTCTCTCGTCTAATGTCACAAGCACAGAATGGCACATCTGGTTGCCAAACGAAGTTATTTGTGGAAGGAATTTTTAAATAGTTCAACATAATAAAATCCCAGAAAAATACAAGAATGATTTCAGTATAGACGCAAAGTAAAGTAGTGCAATATGAAGTACTTTGTTACTCATTTACAACTCTGGCTGGTTAAGGCCCGTCTGCCAATGACTGATATCAATTCTGAACTAAAGACGTTCATGTTCATTCTCAGCAGCTGCTCGAGAGTTTTAAAAGCACTGAAGCTCAAAGGTTCTCTTGTTCAGTTAGATATAATCTTGATCGTAATACTTGATGCAAATGATAATAACTCAGATTAAGCGGAAACTAAACAAACAATCTTCAACTGCAGAATCACAAGTGTCAGCTACAGCACCATAATTCCAAGCAATTAAGCATTGTTACTCACTCTACATATCTGGCTACAGAGTCCTCCAGCAGAGAGAGGCCCTTCTGCCCAAACTGATTCAGGTCAACCAAAATGTCCATCCACGTTAACCCCATTTCCCTGCACTCGGGCCATATCCTTCTAAACCTTTTCTATCCATGTATTTGTCCAAATGCCTTTTAAACATTGTTAATGAACCCATCTCACACCTCAACCATTTCTGCTGATAGCTCATTCCATATGCGTACCACCTTCCATGTAAAAAAGTTACCCTTCAGGATCCCATTTATTCTTTCCCCCCTTACCTTAAACTGATGCCCTCTAGTCCTCGATTCTTCAACCCTGGGAAAAAGACTGAGTGCATTCACTCTATCCATGCCGCTCATGATCTTACACACTTCGATAAGATCCCCTTTCAGCGTCCTAGGCTCTAAATAAAAAAAGTCCTAGTTTGTCCAGCCTCTCCCTATAACTCAGTCCCTCGAGTCCTGGCAACATCCTTGTAAATTTCTTCTGCACTCCTTCCAGCTTAATATCATCCTTCCTATAGCTCGGTGACCAAAACTGAACACAATACTCCAAGTGCGGCCTCACCAACATCTTGTACAACTGCAACATAACTTCCCAACTTCTGCACTCCATGCCCTGACTGATGACGGCCAGTGTGCCAAAAGCCTTCTTCACTGCCCTGTCTCCCTGTGACTTCACTTTCAGAGAATCATGCACCTCAACCACTTTCGCAGCAATCTTCAGCCAAAGGTACCAAGTGGATGATCTATCTCTGCCTCCTCCAGTGGTCCCCAACATTACAGATACCAGTCTTCAGCCAATTCAATTCACTCCATGTGATATCAGAACAGGTTGGAGGCACTGGATATAGCAAAGGCTACGAGCCCTGACAACATTCCAGCAACAGTATTGAAGACTTGTGCTACACAACTTGCCACTTCCCTCGGTAAGCTGTTCCAGTACAGTTACAACACTAGCATCGACCTGACAACGTCGTAAATTATCCAACTATATCCTGTACATAAAAAGCAAAACAAATCCAACCCGGCCAATTACTGCCCCAGTCTTCTCTCTATCATCAGTAAAGTGACGGAAGGTGTCAGTAACAGTGCCATCAAGTAGCACCTGCTCAGTGATGCCCAGTTTGGGTTCCACCAAGGCCACTCAGTTCCAGACCTCATTATAGCCTTGGTTCAAACGTGGACAAAAGAGCTAAATTCCAGAGGTGAGGAGAGAGTGGCAGCAACAGCCCTTGATATCAAGGCTGCATTCGTGTGTAGCATCAAGGAGCCCTAGCAAGAATCAATGGGTATCAGGGGTCAAATTCTCCGGTGGTTGGAGTCATATGTGACACATAGGAAGATGGTCGTGGTTGCTGCAGGTCAGTCATCTCAGCTCCAGGACGTCTCTGCAGGAGTTCCTCAGGGTAGTGTCTTCGGCCCAACCACCTTCAGCTGCTTCAATGACCTTCCCTCCATCAGAAGGTCAGAAGTGGGGATGTTCGCCGGCGATTGCACAATGTTCAGCACCATTTGCGACTCCTCAGATACTGAAGCAGTCCATTGCATTTGGACACAAGATCTGGACAGTATCCAGGTTTGGGCATACAATAGGCAAGTGTCATTCGCACCACACAAATGCCAGTCTATGACCATCAATCTAACCATTAAATGTCAAGGGGCAGTGGTGTCACCATCACCGAATCCACCACTAACATCATCCTTGGAGTTATAATTAATCAGAAGCTCAGCTGGACTCACCAAATGAATGCAGCGAATACAACAGCAGGAATATTGTGGCGTGTAACTCACTTCCTGACCCCTGAAAGCCTGTCCACCATCTACAAGGCACAAGTCCCCACTTGCTTTGATGACTGCAGCCCCAGCAACATACAAGCAGCTTGATACCATCCAGGACAAACTCTATCTGCCATTTCTCAGGCCACTTTCCCGGTAATCAAAATCCTGCTGTACTTTCTGACAACCTTCCTCACTGTCCATAATACCACCTATTTTAGTGTCATCTGCAAACCTAATCATGCCTTGTACATTCTCATCCAAATCATTGATATAGATAACAAACAGCAACGGACCCAGCACCAAATGCTGAGTCACAGGCCTCCAGTGCGACAAACATTCTTCCACTATTACCCTCTGCTTCCTGCCGTCAAGCCAACTGTGTATCCAATTTGCCAACTCTCCCTGGATTCCATGCGATCTAACGTTCCGGAACAGCCTACCATGTGGAACCTTATCAAAGGCCTTACTGAAATCCATACAGACTACATCTACCGCCCTGCCTTCAACAACCTTTCTGGTCACTTCAAAGAACTCTAACAAATTTGACATGCATGGTCTCCCACACAAAGCCATGCTGACTGCTCCTAATCAAACCCTGTCTTTCTAAATGCATGTATATCTTATCCCTCAGAATCTTCTCAAGTAACTTACCTACCACGGATGTTAAGCTTACTGTTCTATAATTCCCAGGATTTTCTTTGCAGCCCTTCTTGCACAAGGGCACAACATTTGCTACCCTCCAGTCTCCCAGGACCCCAACCATGGCAAATGATGATGCAAATATATCAGCCAGGGCCAACACAATTTCCTCTCTAGCCTCTTGCAGGGTTCTTGGATGTATCTGGTCAGGATCAGGAGATTTATCCATCTTCATACATTCTAATACGTTCAACCCTGTGATATGGACTCTCCAAGATATCACCACCAACTTTCCCAAATTCCCAAGTCTTCACGTCTTTCTCTATGGTAAACGGCAGAGAAATATTCGCAAGGACCTCGCCCATCTCCTGAGGTTCCACACATACATGTCCACCTTGGTCCTTGAAGGGTGGATTCTCTCTCTAGTTATTCTTTTTACCTTTAAACATACTTAGAGGGTATCTCTGGATTCACCTTAATCTTCTCAGCCAAAGCTATATCGTACCCACTTTTTGCCCTCAGATTTCCTTCTTTAGTAAACTCCTGTAATCCCTCTCTACCTCCAGGGCTTCCCCTGATCCCAGCTGCCTGTACCTGAGGCATGCCTCCTTTTTACTGGTCAAAGCCTCAATACCTCTTGTTATCCTGGGCTCCCTACTCCTGCCAACCTTGCCCTTCACCCTCACAGGAAACATAGACCATGAACTCTAGCTATCACACTTTTAAAGGCCTCCACTTTGCCTGCAAACAAACTACTCCAATCAACCTCCCTGCCCCAATTTAGAACTTGAACCTGTGGACCAGTTTTGTCCCTCTCCATAACTATTTTAAAATAAATAGAACAATGGTGATTGGTCCCAAAGTGCTCAATCACCTGTCCTGCCCTATTTTCCAAGAGTGGTTCAAGTTTTACCCCTTCTCAAGTAGGGCCCTCTATATACTGCTTGAGGAAACTTTCCTGAACACACAAGTTCCACCCCATCTAAGCCCTTAACAAGTTGCTTTGCCAAGTACAACTATAGAAACTGGAATGGAGGCAAAAGACAGGGAGAATACAATAGTAAAGTACAGCACCAGGGGTCCTGAATTGGAGTCAACTTGGGAGCAACAAATTGATGCTAGATTCCTCTTAGGAACCAAAGAAGAAAATGGTGACTCTGAGGCATTAACAGATTTATTGCTGAGCTTCCTACAGTTAAAAATCAGCTCTGACTAAAACCCCACCAGCCTAGCAGAAGTATCAAATTTAAGACTAGTTTCAGCAAATGGCCTCTCCTAGTCACAAGAACGAAAATGAAGTGCATCAAAAGAAAACCTGTCATTGCGTGTGGTCAATGCAGATTGGGACAGTATACCAGACTGTAATTTGTGCAGCTGAGATTGGGCTCAAATGCTAGAAAGTATTATTACTAAAGTGAAGATGGTCTGCAGCAAAACTGCTGTCATGAGGGAAAAAAAAAATCACTATTCATTTTATAAAGCAAGAGTTTGTAAAAGTGCTCTGGAAGTTGAATCACCTGAACACACTCTTCCAGATCCATCTTCTCAAGTTCGTGGCAATTCTGAAAACGGAAGCAAGTTGTATTAAGGCAAAAAGGAAAAAGCAATGATTCCCCTGCTCCCCAATAAACAATCTTTATACAGCCCTTTTCTGGGTCCAGACAGATTTTCTGTTTAAATGCCAAATCTTCAATAGATTAAAAATTGATGGGAGGGTAAGAAAAGTCTGGTCTTCCAGGGCAATTCAGATCATACACAAGCCAAGAAGTCTGACTTATTTTTGGGTTTACACTTCTCTTTGAACAAGGTGATGTTTTGTCACAAATACAAATCAGAACACCAAGCACACAGTCAGTCACAGACTCATTCTGAGCATCGGCTAGTTTCTTTAAACAAACACTTCAGCAAATCCCAAAAGAAAAGTGCACAGCGTCTATGATGCTGAAGACTTAATGCACATCATTGTAGTGTATATTTTTCAGACACTAACCATTTATCCTCCAGGCACACAAAACATCGCTTCAATGCACAAGGCTGCACTTGGGACATGCTTACACTTACCCGAGCTAATGTCGTAAATCCCACATCTGTTAACTGTGAACATCTAGCAATCTCTAATATCCTGAGAAACAAAACACAAAAAAAGTCAAAAAAGGGGAAAACAAAAAACTCACTAATTTGTCTTTTTTGATCCACGCAAGAGTTTTAAATCATTACATGTACAATTGGAAACAGAGGGGAATGATTTATTTCAAAAAGTACTCCATTAGTGACAAACCTCTTAGATATACCCCGAGCATTTTTTTTAATGCAAATTCTTTTCTATGGTAGGTCTTCAGTTCAAGTCAATTTGGTTCAAGGGAAGTAACAGGTCTTAACAAAATGGCAACCCACTCCTTCCTTTTTGACTGTGGACAATGTATTTCTGGTAACTAATGATTTTATTCTAACTTTTACAAGGTTCCTTTCTTTTGAAATTTTATGCAATTTAAATGTAACATTTTATGCACTGTCAATTAAAAAAAAACAAAGGTCTAAAACAGCAAAGCTTTCAAGATCCAGTTTACTCTAATGACTGCTGACAAACTCCCAGGTGCTCCATTGAATGTTGTCAATAGAAGCCAAATCACTCAAAAAGCAAAGCACAATATTAATGAGAAAGCACATAAAAAGAGGAGTTTTTCTCTTATAGTCGATGTAACTGTGAAACAACAATTAGAATATTACTTTCACGTAGTTATGCTAGACGATTATATCAGGAGTAGCACTAAAACATGTCATTACTCAGCTGCTTCTGATCGTGTAGCTGTGCCTACCTAAGTCGAATGCAGTTCTGTCCCAGTGCGTTCAAAATAGCATCAGTGATGTTACTGCAGCCAGAGACACAGAGCGATTGAAGTTTATGACATCCTCTGCAAATTGTAATCAGTCCCTCATCTGTGATTTGCTGTGAAATGACAGAAAAAGAGAGCAATGACTTACAGATGAGACAGTGATGACATACATTCCTGCTGGTGCATCCACTTGAATTCTCTGCCTGATAACTTGCCAATCTTTCCCTATGGAGTAGGGGGCAACATATACCTATTTGTGCTTGGTTTCGATGAAAGGTTCTACAGCAGCACCAATAGCTTATGGTGAGTAGGCCAACTGCTTATCCTGTCTTTCAGGAAAGACGGCATATTGTTGGAACAGGGAGAGCAAAAAAAAAATGACCATCTTAAGAAAAAAAATGAAGAAAGTCAGGCTGATAAGGAAATGTTAAACAGTGGCTTCATATTTCAAAGTGTTAAAAGCACTGGTGATTTTAAAGGCAGGAAAGATGCAATTCTGCAGAGGAAAAAAGGATCAGTGAGAGAAAAGGGAAGTCGTTGGGTGTCAAGATGAAACACCGGCAGACTTGTTGGGTCAAATAACATTTCTCTATGCGTAATAGTTCTGATCTGCCTTCCAGTATCAAGGACCATAACATTATGGCATTTTCAAAATAACAAGCTCAAAAAACACAAATTACACCCAGCAGGAGGATTTCCTGCAAATAATCTGCAATTAAACATTTGTATTAACTTCAAAAAAAATTAAGATGGGCCTCACAGAAAAATTGAGAAACTTAAGAGCTTTAAGATTCCAGATGAAACGGAAACAGCTCTCAAATGACTCAACTTGTGTGCTTCCTCTATCTATGAGGAAGTGCTGTAAGGAACTTACAGAGCAAGTACAAGAAACTCTGACTTATTACGTAGTTGAGGAGGCTAAAATCTTAAGATTATTTTTTAAATCAACCTGTTGAGTGATGTTATTACACACCTCTTGAGCAGATGAGACTTACATGCAGGCCTTCTGGCTCGGAAAGAGGAATTCTACCACTGTGCCACAAGAACCCTAAACCGATTTACTGCTCGAAAGTGATCGGAGTGGAGCTCAAACTTCCAATCTTTTGGCAACACTCAATTAAATCATTGTATAGCCAAGTAAAGGCTGGTGGCTCAGTATTAGGGGCAGGCAGTGTTTTTAAACATATTGGGCAAGGAGTAAATAAGAATCAGAGGTAAGGTGGTCTAATTAAATAGCATTTATTAAAACATAAAAGGGGATAAAAATACTTTCACCAAGATATTAGTTCATTGCAAGTTCTGCAAAGTTCACTGGCTTAACTATTTTGCAATTAAGTGCAATATTACAAAGGATACAGACATCTAAGGGCACTTCTTTTTTTTGAAGAATGAAAAGATGTATTTCTAGGTACGGACACATCAAGACTACTTGATTTAATTAATAATAGTCCAGGTTCCATCCCTGGACTGTGCTGAGAAGCACAATTAGCAGAACAGAGAATGACATCAGCTGCAAAGTGAGACCTGTTTACAGTAACGGAATTAGGGAATAAAGAGGGAGTCATGAACAGTTCTCACTGATTTCCTGCTGCATGGTGTACAGTGTGTCAATGCCAGCCAAATGATGTCTTTCACAGTTGAAAAGCCAGCAGGCTGGCATAATAGCTCTTGGGCAAAGAGCCAAGGGTACCATCACTGAACTCCCTCATCCTCATTAGGCAGCAACTTTCTCTCAAACAAAGAAATAGGACATGGAGAAAAAAAGGTGAAGGAAATTCTACAAAATAGTCAAGATGCTGAGATAACACAGTGTGGAGCTGGAGAAACACAGCAGGCCAGGCGGCATCAGAGGAGCAGGAAAGCTGAAGTTTTGGGTCGGGACCCTTCTTCAGAAACTTGGTTACAACTTAATGGTTTTTAACAGATTAAACAAGATCCAAATTACACGTAAAAATATTATAAGTTTGAATATTCTTTTTGAAATGCCAATATCCAAGGTTGGAATTTTTCTGCAAGCTGTGCAGAAATCAGAACAATTGACACAATGCAACATTTTTGAGGAAAAGTGAAACACTGCTTCTCAGCAATATTTTTTCAGATACACTTTTGCAAGAAGTATTTGGTTCTCCTACAAAACACTGAAGTTTAACAATGTTTAGTATTTTATCTTAGAAATGTTTTAGAGCGCTGTCTTATAGCCTCCATTACATGTACTTACGGAGCAAGTTTGGAGGTTCAGCGTGACCAGCTCAGGACAGTGAGCACCAATGTATTTCAGAGCTTCATCTTCTAGCTGCGTGTGTAGCAAACAGGTACAACAAAATCGTAATTTAGCAATTTGACCATTCTTAGTTGAAGAAAATCTGTATATTAAATAAATTTCAAATCACAAAAAAATTTAGCTATACCTGCTAATTAAGTCATTGCTATATCCAACCCCCAGGAGGTGAACAGAGGCAGTAAATAAACCCCATTATAACAGCCATGTGGCATCATTTTTGAAAACCAGGGTAACATTAATCACTGCATTATGGTAGTTTTGAGTTTGAGGAACCTGAGTGCCCATATAGCTTGGACAGTAAACACTTCACAGTACCTCAAATCATTAGTCTTATAATAAACTAATCCCATGCATAAATCCAAATTTTGAAGTTTCCCCAAAAACGACTTTCACAGGTAACAGCACTGCAAATGACAGAACTTTATTCTGAAATTATTGCTTTATAATTATAACTAGCAACAGCACTTTGTAACTGGACATTGTTGGCGCACAGCTGTTACAACTGACGCACTTAAGATAATTAAATTTTAAATAAACTTTTTAAATTCAGGGTGAAAGACAGTGATGAAAAGGGATGTGAGACTGGCTGGTTTTGCCTGGGTAGACTTAGATTCTCAGGCAAATGATTAAAAAGGCAAAGAGACAAAGAAACACAGTGACAGGCAGAGAATGACCGCAGGAAACGTCACAGCTGCTGCACTCAGCATAGGAAGGGACTACTCCCTGTTAGTTACCAGGCAAAATGCGCATTCTAGGTGCATTGTTCTAGGAAGATAGAAAGTTAGACTAATTAAAGTGTGCTCTTCCACTAGATCATACTGATTTACATAAACACCATTTTCCTGCAATACCCCCAAATCCCTTTGATACTCTCTGGTCAAAAAAGTGGATCCCATGGAAATTTAAGGTCACAGGAAGATTCACCTCGCCAAGGTCAGGAGAAGGAATCACCAATGTGAGGTCTTTTGACTACAAGTTGCTTTGGGAATCCTCAGAAGGGGCAGAGGGAAATTACCTTTGGCTTACAACTCCAGCAAATGGGGAGAAGTGAGCCATTGGAAGCTGGGAGTAACTTTGGACTGTTTGCTGAAATGCCTATAATTCTGCAGAGACTGCAGCATAATGTAAAACATGGCTTTGGATTACTAGTGCCAAGGAACTAATAAGAAATATCTTCTTTAGTGTACCACTAATACTCTAATGTTTAGTCAATGTTAACTTTGGTTTATTGGGGACAGAAAAGGTCTTAAAAACTTCAAATAATACATGTGATTCTATTAAATCAGAGTTTCCATTGACTGACTATTTTCGTAACAAAGTGTTTTTCAGTTATGCAAGAACACGTGTATAGCATAAACCCGTTCAGCTTCTGAACTAAAGCAGAGATATGTGGACCAAAGGAGGCACACTTTACTACAACACTGGCACCAGGCCGATGCTGAATCTAGGTTAAGTTTTTCTTTACTTTTAACTGCAACTTCATAGCAAAGTAATATTGCCCCACAATACCTTTTCTTACTGGAAATTACAATACGTTGGCAGCACAGAATCAGACTGTTCAGTTCCACAGATCCACATGGTGCTTATCCTCCGTTAAAAAGAAATTCCTGCTATTTATCTTCATCTAATCCCATCAACACTTCTACTCTACATCCTGTAACTTGCTTATCCATTAGATGGGGAGTTGGTAGCACAGCAGTAAACCATTGGAATGGCAATACAGAGTTCCAGGTTCATGTCTTGGAGACATGATTTGATTCCTAGCAAGGAAGATGGTAGTGTGAATTCAATTTTAAAAAGTTTAGAATGAAACTCTGGCCACACAAGCCCACCTGGTTCACTACTGTCCTTCAGGGAAGGAAAATACCTCTTTACCCGGGCTGGCCTACATGTGACTCCAGACCCACAGCAATGTGGTTGACTTTTCACTGCCCCCAGGGCAGTTAGATTTATTAGTAATAAACCTCACTACAACCCCTATTTCTGGTCCTTATCACAAATGGGCAAATCTTATCTACACTTGCAAATCCTTTCATAACATTAAAAAAAGTAACCTCAGGAAAAATTCTAAAGAAAACACGTTTTCACTTCTAGAGCCTATTTGAGAGAAGCAGTGGAATAATACATTTGTCATAAACCACAATCCAGAAAAGAAACAAGAACAGGCCATGATTACTGCAGGAGAGCAAAACAGGAGCAGCACCAGGCAAACCCAAAAGTGAGTTGTCAGCCAGCTGAAGCTACAAAATACGACCACTTGTATGCCAAACAGAGCAAGCAGCAAGAGACATGGCCAGGCAATCCCACAACCTAGCATCTAAGCAGAGTCTTGCCACATCCTTTCATGAATGGTAGCGGACAATTAGACAACTCACTGGAGAACAACTTCTCTGCAGAAGTTTGTCAGGGTAGCGTCTTAGGCGCAACAATCTTAAGCTGCTTCAAAGACCTTCCCTCCATCATAAAAGCCAAGTAAGGGGTGTTCACCAACAATTGCACAATGTTGAGCACCACTCTCGACTCCTCAGAAAGTGAAGTATTGCTTATCAAAATACAGCAAGAACTGGATGATACCCAGGTTCAGGCAGACAACTGGCAAGTAACATTCACGCCACTTTGTGTCAGATGACAACCATCTCCAAGATCCAACTGCATCATCACCACTGAATCCCCCACTTCTTCATTCTCACAATTACCATTTAACAAAAGTTGAACTCGACTAGCCATATAAATACTTTGGCTATAACAACACATCAGGTGCTGGCAATACACTGAATAATTCATCTCCCAATTCCATAAAGCGTGCACACTGTCTACAAGGTACAAGCCAGTAGTGAGATGAATACTCTCTACTTGTCTGGATGACTGCAGCTCCAACGTTGAAGAAGCTTGACACCTTTTATCATAAAGCAAAGCAATCTGCTTGATTAGCACCACATCCACAAACATCTACTCCCTCCATCACCGATAAACAGTAGTACACACTGCAGACAAACAATGCTCCTGCCTCCACACCTTCCAAACACGCAATCCCTATCATTTAGAAGGGCAAGGGCAACAGCTGCATAAAACACCATCCGCAAATTCCTCTCCAAACCACTCACCAACCTGATTAGAAAAGAGTGTCATTCCTTCAGTATCACTGGGTCAGAGACCTGGAACTCCCACCATAATGATATTGTGGGCCTACCCACACCAACTGGACTCCAGCAGTTCAAAGCGGTAGCTCACTACACCTTCTGAAGGACAATGAAGGATGGACAACAAACACTAGCCCACAATGCCGACATCCCATTAAGGCATTAAAAAAATTGAGTCTTTCAGGTTAGATCATTCAACTAGGCCACAGCTGATCTGTATCTGTAAGTGCATTTACCCACCTAATTCCATAAAGTTTAAATCTCTGACCTAATAAAAAATCTAATCGAGTTCAGCTTTGAAGCTTTTAATGAAACCGACATCAACAGTTTTTGGGAGGGAAAGAGGGGTTGTGGAGTGAAGCACTCTATTTTCACTATCCTTGTGCAAGGAATTGCTTCTCACTTCATGCACCAGAGTAACTTTGCTTTCTTTGTAAAGTTGTATTTAAAAAGGATGAAAATTGTGCAATCAAAAATTGTAACGCGATTACCAAACTACTTATAGGCAGTACTGTAATTCCAAGATAATATGTACAGCTGAAATACTTCTGCAATACTCCACTTCAACCTTTGTTTGAATCATTTTGCTATAGCTCATAATAATCACATGACCACAGAAAATAAGCTAAAAAGCCTTTAGTATTTTAAGATGCCAATCCAGTATTGTCAGCCAGACTCAATTTTCTTTTTACGTCAGTGTTGTTCTAGCAACCACACAACACAATACACAGTGGATCATTACACAGACCTGTGTACATCCTTTAAGAAACAGAGCCTTCAATCCACCGCAGCCTCTCACTAGTGCCTGTATCCCATCCTTCGTCACCTGGTCACACCAGGATATATTCAGCTGTTCTAGAAGTGGACATCCCTCACTGAAAACAAACAAAACTCTTCAAGAATAACTGTAGACATGTGACAGTGACAAAAAATTGCACTTGTAACTTTAAGCAATATGAAAAAGGATAAGTCCATTGATTCTGAGCTTGCAGCAAGAATGCTTAGTTCACTGGCACATCATATTGGTGACAGAACTATAATACTGCACTGTCAATTCTCTAATCAGAGCTCTTGTTCAGTGAAGCTCCGACTGGAAGCACAGGATCACGGAATAAACGCTCGGAAAGTAACATCAGTAGTGTGAAAAACATTACTTTTCTTATGCTAAAAATAAGAGCAAGTGAAACATTATTGTTTATAATCAGATAAATGAAGGATATGAGTTTGCAGTGTATTAATAGGTTGGACCACATCAAGATGAGCAGTTACAAATCACGAGGTTCAAATTCAAAGTGTTTATAAGTCAACCCCAAAATGCATCATTTTTACACAATACAGTGTAATATTATTTAAAAAACTGACTAACTTCTGTGTCTGCTTGTTCTTTCTTCCACTACCAGAACTCGGACATAATTTGTCAGATAACAATACTGTGCTGTGTGATTATTTAACAGTGGGGTGATAATTAACAGAAGATGCAAAGAATGTTTATCTTCTGTAATTATTTGAGAGCTATCTATTTACAAACACGATGTTAGTTTTCATATGAATGCTGATGACAACATATGCCTCTTGACTAGATTGTTGCTAAATTATCAAGCCACTTATTCAGTACATCCAGTAGTGGAGGAACAGAAAATTCCTCCAATTGAATACTAGAATAACTGAAGACATGGTTTTGAATGCGGACTGAAATCTCTGTCCCTAACTAAGGACTCCATCACTTTCCCTGCCAACATTCCGAGACTAAACCAATCTGTTCACAAACTTGGTGGCACATTTAACCCCAAGATAAGTTGCAAACACATATTGGTGTGGTATCACTAAAACGGCCTATTTTCACCCCCCCTAACATGACGCTTGTCTCAGCTCATGGGTTGCTGAAACCCTCATTCGTAACTTTTGTTACCTATAGGTCCAACATCTCTAGCACACTTCTGGTATGTAACACACTTAATTGTTCTACTTATTGGTGGCAACGACTTCAGTTGCCTGGTCTCCACACTTCAAGTTCCCTCTCTACACCTTCTGTCTCACTTCCTTCCTTTAATACATTCTTTCAAAGCCAACTCTTTGACTATGATTTTGGTCCATCTAATCCAATACCTCATGTAGCTCAGTCATATTTTGCTTCATAATGCTCCCATGAAGTGCCTTGGGACATTTCATTATATGCTATATGAATATAAATTGTTAATACTGTCAACTGGACCTGGGAAATTTCAGATACTTGCCTGAGTAAATCGCTTTCAAAACTTCTTTTCTCCAATTTACACACACCTCCCTCTCGCACAATGCTACCATTAATTCACTGAGGAATTTCATCAGTGATCTCTTAATACATTATAAAATATAGAGTAGTGCAACCTTAATTTCCCTTGTGGCCTAGACATGTAAATATATCATTCTTATTGTGGTCACAGTGCTGTAAAATCAACCTTCCTTTTAGAGCCACACAGATCAACAACGCAGTTTTGTCACTAAACTACTACAAATGATTCCCCAATGATATAAAAGATATTAAAGAGAATAAGTACCTCCAGAGAGCATCATGATATTCAGAAATTGGAACTTTCCAATTATGGAAGGAACCAGAAGCTGCTATTTAATTGTAAATAAATCAAAATCAATGCAGGCAATTAAAAGAGCTCAAGGCTGTGGTTAATCTCAAAATAGTTTAGTTGCCACTCAGACACTTTCAAGGTTGTTTACAGTTTATGGCACAAATTCTAAAGCTACTCCCGATTACATTAGATATTTGCAACATATTTCCTAGGTTCTGATGCATTCCCAGAATGTGGGTATTGCCAGCAAGCCTAGGAATTATTGCATGTCCCCCACTGCTATGAAGCTGGTGATGAGCTGTATGATCAGGAACTGCTATTCTATGTAGTGACTTGACTCAACTGAGTAGCTGACTGGGCCACTTGAGAGCTGGCGTTACATATAGATCAAACCAGGTAAAGATGGTGGGTGTCCTTCCCCATCAGATCTTGGTGAAACGTGTTTCTTTTGATAAAATGTTAAGCTAAAAGCTTAGTGGTCACGTCAAACTGAATTCTCCGACTGGACTGGTGGAACTGGGAGCTCAAGTTCTTTAGTTATTAATTTAGTAACGTAGCTACTGCCCAGGATGCAGTCAATGGTGTAGTTTTAGAACTGTGGATTATTAATCCTGCAAAACTATTTTTTGTATTTTCTGGATGCAAAAGTCGTAAGATTATAATGGAAGTAAACTACCATTCAGTTGCCCATTCTTCAAAATATTATCATCTTTAAAACTCCAGATGACTACCCTATCTTGTGCTGTACTGTAACAGAAGTCATACATTTGCATACTTCCCTTCATATTTTTAATACTAGACTGCATTTCCCCAATTAGCGCTTTATTTCACGTCAGCAATAACTTTTGCTGATGGTTAGTTACTAATCTGCAATAGGCCCCAGTTACTTTGCTTAGGAGTGGAAACAAAAAAAGGACCCAAAAGCAAATGTTAGACTATCCAATCACACCACTTGACATAAAACGGCATTGTGTATCACTAATTTCAGTTGAAGCACTGTTATTGAGTTGAGTTATCTAGTATTGTAAAGAACTATACTGATCCAAATATGATTTACAAGGGATATCAGAATGGTCTTGCTACATTGGAGGTCTTACTGTGGTATCCCAGCTCAAAGAGGCTGTCAGAGTTTCCTTAGATGCCCCTAAATTTTCTTGTCCTCCATAGAGGACAGCACTTTCTTATAGGGATATTGACAAACTTTAGACCTCCGTATCGAGAGAGCATTGATCTTCACATATCAGTATCCCCATTTTGTCTGTCACTACACTCTGGTATTCCAATTTGGTGCCACACTGAGCTATTAACCAAGTTCAAATTCAAAAGAAGAAAGTTGGCTTTCACCTTTTTAAAAAAAAATTAAAGTCAATAATTGTGATACAAGACCATACAAATCTCTTGTTGTTCATCTGACTTGTGCAATTAATGGTTCAGAACTTTGAAGGAGGAAGGGTGATAAAATCCAAGGGAGAGTAAACAGGGTCATTATCACGTGTTTAGTTCTCAAAAAAGGTTGGCTCTGAATTTGGAATCACTAAGCTAATGAAATGTTGCCTCTTTCTTTTCCATCCTCTGCCTTGTGGCACATCATGATAAAGGCTACATTTTAAAAGCAGTAACTCTGCCCCTGCTGAAAAGTCAGTGGGGAGACCAGCTATGATCCTAACAGCTATCCTGCTGCTATTTAATATCAGGAACAGTGCCAACTGTTTTAAGACAAAACATCCACCCTGTCTCAGGAGCAAATCCCACCTTCTAGAACTGACAACTATATTAACCAGCAGTTCCACAGTCCCACCAGCAGCAGTGAAAACACTGGGACTAAGGCAGTCCCAATGCTGAGAAGCCCAAGTAAGTTCAAAGTCAGGGGACTTGGGAAGCCAGGAGGAGGAGGACTTGGTGGGGGCGGGGGGAGGTATCTTTTGGCATGACAGAGTACAATAGTCCCCAAAAGAAAATCTCTTGGCTTTCCCAAATTAGCTCTCATAGCAAAAACAAATTGCTGAAGAAACTCAGCAGGTCTGGTAGCATCTATAGGAAGAAAGCAAAACTAACATGGAGTCCAGTGACTGAAGAGTTTGCAGAGTGAAATACTGGCAGCTTTGGAATAAGACCCTTACGTGGCATTAATTAGGCATTTAACGGTCTTCATAAGCTTAAGAGTGGATGGGTAGACTGCCCAGCATTTCTCCTCCCCCTGCCCCAGAAAATTTCAGACCAATCGGGGTGGATAGGTAAACAGCAGGAAGACCACCTGCTGGATTTTATATGCCCCACCAGCTTTAAACGTGCTGTTGCTGCATGGATTGTGTGAAAGTAGCTCCTTCTTAGAAGACGTTTCAGCCATTGCATCCTATCATGGTCAAATATTATTGAAATACTGAACCGGTATTATGCATCCAAATCTTTGGAACATCTGCAAGTTTGTTAATTCACAATTTACCAAAACTCATTGTATATCACAGATGCAAACAGGTTCACAGATCAAACATTAAACAGAGTACTTACAAACCATACTAAAAGTTAACTAACACAAATTAATAAGTTATTGAAGTTCTGAATCACCGAAACTCACCTCAGAGCTTTCAAAGAAAGGTTTGTGATAGATGTGCATGAAGCTAGGTCTAGACTTCTTAGCTTGGAGCAGAATTTACTTAGACTAGTACAGGTTCTGTAAAGAAGCACAACCTATAAAAGTTATCAAGAATCCAATCTCCATTCTGCCAAACAATTTCATTATTTGAGAGCTATTCTCCAATTATTTCAATGAGAATCCACCCTCCTTTGTTCTCTCCACAGTTCCTGTCTAACACACTGACAATTTGCAGCATTCTCTGCTTCTATAAGAATGGCAACAGCAGGCAGGCAAAATTCTAACAACCATTGTTTTGTTTAACCACAAGATTTACTTACATAAAAACCTCACTTGCTGAGATAAGTGAAGAGCTCCCATTTAAAGAATAAAGAGAGTAAAGTCTGGGAAAAATAAACTGAACATTTAGCATTTTAATTTCCTGCACTGTGGATTGAAGAGTTCAGTTAGAGTAGAGAACCTGGGTTAGATGGGATATCGAAAATGACAGAGGGAACAAAATCAACTTCAGCAACTATAATTAATCAACCTAGGTCTTTTAGTATATCATGCAATTTCTAGTGTGCACACCAATTCATCTTTATATGAGCAATGACTGTATAATTGGATTGGGAAATTGCAATGTGTCTCCATTATTTGAGGAGAGGGAGAGACAGAGACAGACACAGACAGACACCCTGAGAGACAGGATAGCTACAGACCTCTCAGTCATGGGAAAGCAGTGGGAGTTGGTCACTCAGGACAGAGCTGATCTGGATATTACAGCTGACTAGACAGTTTTCTTCGATGTCTGAAATCAGGCCTGACCAATTCAATAGATTTTTTTTTTCAGAGAAGTCAGCAAGATGATGAGAGAGAGCGAGAGCGCGAGCGAGGACCATGGCACTGTAGATGGCTATTCAAGTCCATGGTGTCTGCATGAGCCGAATAAACTAGCCCTACTATTCTAAATAAAAACCGAAAGGACTGCGGATGCTGTAAATCAGGAGCAAAAACAGAATTCGCTAGAAATGTTCAGCAGGTCTGGCAGCATCTGTGAAGAAAAAAAAAAATCAGAGTCAACGTTTCAGGTCCTGTTCCGAGAAAGGGTCACTGGACCGGAAACATTAACTCTGACTTTTCTTTTCTTCACAGATGCTGCCAGACCTGCTGAGCTTTTCCAGCAACTTCTGTTTTTGTTCCTATATTGTAACTCCACTTACCAGCATCTGGTCTGTAGCCATGCGGGGTTACACTGTTTAAGGGCAGATCCAGGTTCCTTATAAAAGTGTGAAAGTTTCTGCCTCAACACCTAGTGTCTATGGACATTGAAACGACAGACAGACAGACAGCAAGGTTTCTCATGACAGAGATTAAAAAGTAACAATGACAGCAAGGTTTGTAATACCCTTGCAGCAAGCTTGGAAATTGCTTCAGCATTAGGAGACAGGCTGGTGATAAAGAGTACATAATGATTGGTGACTTGTCACTTGTGGTAACCACAGAAATTCGTGCTCACACCTCAGCTTTTCGCTTTTGTTATGAAGGATGCAGAGATGAAAGAACAGAAAATTGCATATCCAAGTTTACGGATGACAGCAAGTTAGGTAGCTCAGTAGAGAGTGCAAATGGGAGCAGAAACTTGCAAAACAGACATTGATAGATTAAGTGGGTGGGCAAAACCATAACAAGTGTGGAATCACACACTCAAAATGAAGACAGACCGATGTGAATATTTTCCCAACGGTATGAAATTAAGAATTCCAGAGGAGCAAAAGGGCTTTGGTGCCCATGTACGTAAATCACTTTTCTTGTCGAGGACAAGAAAACAGAAAAGGCTAATAGAATACTGGCCTCTACCTCGAGGTCTAAGATACAATGGACAGGAAACTGTTGCAGCTGTATGAAACTGTAGTTCTACATTCATTCAAGCCAAATCCCCAGCATCAATATTCCTGTTTAACCAAGATATGCCAAAGTAGTTAATTAATGCTGTGTACACTATTCACCAGTAGAGAAGCACTCTTATCAACAGTAGAAGTACTTATTCAGAACTTCCTTTTTTCCCTTCAGAATATTGACTAATACATAGTCCCACAGATGCACAGTTCCCCTCATGTACTTCATGTGTGAAATGGCTGTTCAACACAAGAGAAATTGCACAAAGCATTTTTTTCTTAAATAAACACATAATCCATCATTACATCCAGTGAGCTATTACTTCCCAATTAATCCCTTTTCCTAGTCTTAGAGGTATGGCAGCCTCTTCCATTACAACACCTGTTTTCCTTTTGATACAAACCTGGATGAGGGGGCAAAGGCTACAGCTAGCTCTCAAATGACTGCATTTAGCTTACTTACGCATCTGTGATTTTTGTGCATCCATTCAGATTTAACTGTTCAATATTCCTGCAGTTCTGAGCAAATGTCCTAGAGCAATAACAAGAGAAGAGAGAGAGAGAGAGAGACAGCAGTTATTGCAAATAAAAAACTCAAAAACTTGAGGTGCACTACAATACTAGTAAAAATGAGAAGAAACAGGATATTTCCACCAAGTAGATAAATACTGGTGTTGAGTCAATATTCTTCTCCATCAATAAAACAACAAAAAACAATTTAATTTATAAAGCATCATAATTAGACAAATATCCCTAGGTGCTTCACAGGAGTATCAAATATAAAGCATATCAAATACAGCACATTAAATTGGCCCATAAAAAATGTAAATATTTCATGACGAATGATTAAACTTCTATTCTCTCCCTGTTTATCTCAACTAGTAATTTGTACCAATGAGGAAAACAATTCCTGGGTAAAGATCTCACTTGGATATCTCTAATTGATTGAAATGGTATGCTAAACAGAGACGACAAAATTAAAAACAGTTTGCAGGGTAGCGTTCAACTCACAAACCAAAATCAAGTTATAAGAATCATTCACACTAAAGAAAGAATCAAATTGTACACTATCAGCAGGCTGATTATTCGAGGGTTAACTTTTAAATGTGGTCACAGCAAAACGGGGACGACAGCCTGACAGTCATAATAAGTTGCGGCTGGTTAGTTTTTATTTTCCCTGAAGTTAATCATTACTTTCCTAGATTAATCATGAGCCATCATTAATATATCCATGTTCAAAGCTACTATCGCTGATATATAATCATAGCAGCAAAGAGATCCAACAAATGCACTGAGCCTGAACTCGCGTTTCACTTGTGGCAATATTTATTTCATCTTTTGTTTGAATGTTTGCTATTTTTTTAAAAAGCTCTACAGAAGATAGATGACAGTTGTGGGGAAAGAAAGAAAGAAAAAAAAAGTGTTTTCCGCAGCGAAAAATAACACCTTACGTGGAAGAACATTCTTATTCAGCTGCAGATGTCGAACTTCAATGACCACACTATCACAATCACAGAGATAATGTCTCATCAATCTGAAGAGTCACACTATGCAAGGTGGTTAATATTATTTATTTGCCTCCAGGTCCCTTTATTTGTTTTATTTTAAAATTCATTCGTGGAAAGTGCATGTCATTGGCTCAGCCAGCATTATTGCCCATCAGGTAGTTAAAAGTCAGCCACATTGCTGTGGGTTGGGAGCCATATGTAGGCAATACTGGGCAAAGATGGCAGGTATGGCTTCCAAAAAAAAAATGAGTGAACGAGATGGGTTTTTCCGACAAACAAAAACAAACAGTTTCACGGTTGTTTTTGTAGTCTCATGCCAGATTTTTATTGAATTCAAATTCCACCATTACCATAGCAGGATTCAAACTCAGGACCCCAGAACACAACCTGGGTCTTTGAATGAATAGTCTAACTTTGTCCCAGTTGAAAGAATTTACCACAACAACAACAACATTTTAGAAAGCTGCCAAATGCCAAATATTAGGTTTTTCTCATGGTAGCATATTGATGCCTTCAGCAGGAGGGAGGAGGCAGAACAAAAATGAAAGAGGACCGTCCTCCTTTCTGACAGTCAGAAGTTTGTGTGTGTCACCTTCCTTGGTTAGTGGATTATGCTGCGTGCTACAGAGAGGGATGCTTTTGCTTTCTTTCTGAAATAGAAAAAAGGCGTCAAGAAGTAAAACACCAAGAGTGAACTGGTGTCCCAAATTTCCAATAATGTTACTGGGCGTCTTTCATTAAAGGTTTGTGCATAACACTATCTCCCAACTAAAGCAACATTCCCTGCAAAGCTCACTCACTATCCTCAGATCAACAAGATGCCAGAAGACATGCACTCCCTCTGCTCAGAGTTGGTTTGACTACGTTTCCTTGGAGAACCCATAGAGTCCGACAAGAATCGTCCCAGTGTGGAAATTGGGAAGCATACTCTTAGGGAAGATTTAAATTGAGTTCATAAAAAGGGCTCACTTAAAGAGGGTTCTGAGGAAGGGTCACCGGACCCGAAACGTTAACTTTTTTTTCCGCCACAGATGCTGCAAGACCTGCTGAGCTTTTCCAACAACTTTGTTTTTGTTCCTGATTTACAGCATCCACAGTTCTTTCGGTTTTCATTACATAATTTTAAGTTGTATTTCTTAGAGTATGTCAAAACACAGGAGTGACCTGACTGAGGTATTTCAAATTTTAAGAAGTATTTGATAGGGTGATGTGAAGAAACTATTTCGTTTGATAGGGGAAATCAAGAATAGAGAGAGTTATGAACTTAAATTCAGAGCTATGCCATTCAGGAGCTAAATCAGAAAATGTACAGTCATAGGGTCAAGATGTACAGCATGGAAACAGACCCTGTGGTTCAACTTGCCCATTTGCCAGCATTTGGCCCATATCCCTCTAAACCCTTGCTATTCATAAAGCCATCCAGATGCCTTTTAAATATTGTAATCTGACCAACCTCCACCACTTCCTCTGGCAGCTCATTATATTCACACACCACCCTCTGGATGAAAACGTTGTCCCTTTAATCTTTTTTATTGCCTTCATAAAAAGGGCTGGAAGAGTTCTAGCAAATTTATCCAGAAAATACTGTTTAATATTGAAACAGTTTAACATTTCAGGACACAGACTAACAGATTTTTGTTTTGCAATAATGTGAAGGGATAGCAAGCAGAGCAATTATACCCAATTAAAAACTTCTGTGGCACAGTGGTAGTGATTCTACCCCCACACTGGGAGGCTCAGTTTCAAGTTCCATGGGCCCCCGAGGTGAACAGATTGATTAGAAAAATGACTAAAAAGTGGAAAAGAAGTTTGAGTTGAAAGGCTCATGCCTGTTCCTGAAGTCCAGGTTGATGGGCTCAGCTCAAACGGGTCTCTGTGCCTATGTGTATGCTGAACATGTTCCAACATACAGCATAATGGATGCCTTTTGTAGGAAACTTCAAGGACTACGATGTGCCTTGTAATTCCAGTAAAACCCAATGCCAAGCTTGGGTTCAAGCCACAGTAAATAGCAAGGCCTCAACCCACAATAAATCAGGCTAGCACTGAAGGTGTATCCCAACCCTCAAGGAAGGAGCATCACACTCCCCACAATAAATACGTAGCTAGAACACACGGGATGCATCCCTAATAGGGGTGATGCTTAACCCCATTCTACTTATTTCCAGCATCTTCAGCCTTACTCAAAGTCTTCCCCTATGTCACCATTTGGGGAAAACACAGGCATATGCCAGCACTACTTCATCACCCATCACTAGTAAATAGATTTAATTCACATTTTTACCTTAAAGAGTTGTCACCCACTCCAAGACATCCTCGCAGACTAAGCTTCCGTAAAAACCCACCACATCTTTTGGAAATATTTTCTACCACTCGGCCCTGTGTTATCAAGAAAAATAATTTCAAAACCAGAATTTTTTTTTTCCTTATAATATGGAACTTTGACACTTATACAGGATGCGTTATTGTGAAATCTAAATGTGCAGTTTTCAACGTTGCTTTCGAAATGCAGTGGAACCGTGCTCAAATATTTTAATTGAAAGAAATTTGATCCTGATGTAAGTAAGTGCTCAGAATAATAGAAATGAAAAATAAAAAGTGAGATGCACACTGGATTCACCAGCATTCAAAGGTGAAAAGACAGGTTAACATTTTTTGAGTAGAGGTCCTTGGAACTGGGTTTACTGGCATTCCCATAAAAATTCTTCTGTGTTTCCACTAGACAGATTTACAGTCATGATACTATAGCCATAAAACTGAAAAAAGTTCATGAGTAAAGGACCAAACCACATTACCAACCTCTCATTTATACTGCCTTTTTAAAAGGCATTGCAAGTTCCTACACAAACTAGTTAGTATCAAAATCCTCCCGTCAGACACGTCTGATGGTCTGACACACCCACCAATGTCACTGTTGTTACAATCCTTTTTCAAGGCACACACCAGAAAAAGTCAGGCCAAATTTAGGAATTTGCTTCTCCCAACATATTAATTCCTGCAACATTCGTGGACAAGAATGAAAATATCCTAAAATATATTATTTCAAGTAAATAATCTCTCTACATACAGAATGAAATGAGTCAGCACAACTATTGAAAAGTATTTTATATGATAAGAGATATGTCCAACAAAGGATGCTCAGGGATAAAAAGATTAAGCAGCCAATGGAATGACAGATATGCACACTGCTGCCAATTTAGGCACTGGAATTGGCTCAACAGTCAGAAAGGCAGACCAACAATAAATGCCTGGCAGTCTGGACTTTGGACTCAAGTTTTAAAAATGGAAAATGTTGGAATCTTATGACTAGTCTATCAGCATCCAAAAGGATAAAGTTAAAGATAAGAACTCCCTTCAGGAGTGAGGGGGGAAAAAAAAAAAAAAAGTTTGACTACTTTTTCTCTTCCTTTATCACCATTACCCAAAGTCTGTTCAGTCCCATAAAACAACTCAGTTTGCATTCAATACTGAAGTTAAAGCAACAAACATTAACTTCTATTCTGATGGGATTGTATTTTTTCCAGAATGTTTTCCCCTTTCCATCTTCAGATCCAATTAAATGGTCTGTGACAGAGTTAACACAGACAGCCATTGCATTAACGAAGAACAGGAACAGGCCCTTCAGCCTACCAAAACTACACTGACAACATGTCTTCCTGAAAAAAAAACTTTCCTGCATCTACACAGCCCATATCCCTCTATTCCCGGTCTATTGTATCTGCCTCCACCACCTCCTCCGGCAGCACATCCCACGCACTTAACACCCTCTGCATAAAAAACAATGCCTCACACATTTCATTTATATTTACACTATTTTACCTTAAATAATATCCCCCTAATAATTGACACTACTACTGAGAAAAAGACTTCAGCTATCCATTCTATCCATGCCTTGCATAATTTTGCAAACTTCTATCAGGTCACCCCTTGCTCTGATGTTCAAGTGAAAATAAACCAAGCTTGTCCAATCTGTCCTCATAGCGAATACCCTCCAAGCTGGGCAACATCCCAATAAACAATTTCTGTACCCTCTCTAAAGCCTCCACATCCTTTTGTTTTATGTGGTAACCAGAATTGTATACAGTATTCCAAAAATGGTCGAACTAAAGCTCTATACAGCTGCAAAATGACTAGCCAATTTTTATACTCTATGCCCCAACTGAAGGTGGTAAGCATGCCAAACGCCTTCTTAACCACTAATTTCACTTGTGTTGGCACGTTCAGGAACTGTGAACCTGTACACCTAGACCCCTCTATGTTAATGCTCCTAAAGGGTTCTGCCATTTACTATATACTTGCCTCCTGCATTAGGTCTTCCAAAATGCATCACCTCACATTTGTCCAAATTAAACTCCATCTGCCATTTCTTCACTCAAGACTCAAGCTTATTCTCCTATATCCCGATGCATCCTCTGGCAATCCTCCTCACCACCCGCAGCTCCCACAGACTTTGTCTCTCGGCAAACTTACTGCATTCTCCTCCAGACAACAAGGTTACCAACATTGGGTACAGATCTCCAGTTAGAAAAACATCCTTCCATCACTGACAGTAGGAACTGCAGATACTGGAGAATCCGAGACAACAAGGTGCAGGGCTGGATGAACACAGCAGGCCAAGCAGCATCATGGGAGCAGAGAGGTTGACGTTTCGGGCCTAGACCCTTCATCAGAAAAGGGGGAGGGGAAGGCGGTTCTGAAATAAATAGGGAGAGAGTGGGAGGCGGATAGAAGAGGGATAGAGGAGAGGATAGGTGGAGAGGAAACAAACAGGTCGAAGAGGCAGGGATGGGGCCGGTAAAGGTGAGTGTAGGTAGGGAGTTAGGAAGGGGATAGGTCAGTCCAGGGAGGACGGACAGGTCAAGGGGGCGGGATGAGGTTGGTCGGTAGGAGATGGAGGTGCGGCTTGAGGTGGGAGGAGGGGATAGGTGGGAGGAAGAACAGGTTAGGGAGGCAGGGACGAGCTGGACTGGTTTTGGGATGCGGTAGGGGGAGGGGAGATTTTGAAACTTGTGAAATCCACATTGATACCATTGGGCTGCAGGGTTCCCAAGCGGAATATGAGTTGCTGTTCCTGCAACCTTCGGGTGGCATCGTTGTGGCACTGCAGGAGGCCCAGGATGGACATGTCGTCTGAGGAATGGGAGGGGGAGTTGAAATGGTTCGAGACTGGGAGGTGCAGTTGTTTATTGCGAACCGAGCGTAGGTGTTCTGCAAAGCGGTCCCCGATGTAGAGGAAGCCACACCGGGTACAGCGGATGCAGTATACCACATTGGCAGATGTGCAGGTGAACATCTGCTTGATGTGGAAAGTCTTCTTGGGGCCTGGGATGGGGGTGAGGGAGGAGGTATGGGGGCAGGTGTAGCACTTCCTGCGGTTGCAGGGAAAAGTGCCGGGTGTGGTGGAGCTGGAGGGGAGTGTGGAGCGGACAAGGGAGTCACGGAGAGAGTGGTCCCTCCGGAAAGCAGATAAGGGTGGGGAGGGAAAGATGTCTTTGGTGGTGGGGTTGGATTGCAGATGGCGGAAGTGTCGGAGAATGATGCGTTGGATCCGGAGGTTGGTGGGGTGGTACGTGAGGACGAGGGGGATTCTTTTTTGGTTCTTACTGCGTGGACGGGGTGTGAGGGATGAGGTGCGGGAGATGTGGGAGACACGGTTGAGGGCGTTCTCGACCACCGAGGGGGGGGAAGTTACGGTCCTTGAAAAACGGGGACAACTGAGATGTATGGGAGTGGAATGCCTCATCCTGGGAGCAGATGCGGCGGAGGCGAAGGAATTGGGAATAGGGGATAGCATTTTTGCAGGAAGGTGGGTGGGAGGAGGAGTATTCTAGGTAGCTGTGGGAGTCGGTGGGCTTGAAATGAATATCGGTTTCTAGGTGGTTGCCCAATATGGAGACAGAGGGGTCCAGGAAGGGGAGAGAGGTGTTAGAGATGGTCCAGGTAAACTTAAGGTTGGGGTGGAAGGTGTTAGTGAAGTGTATGAACTGTTCGAGCTCCTCGTGGGAGCACGAGGCGGCGCCGATACAGTCATCAATGTAACGGAGGAAAAGGTGGGGTTTAGGGTCGGTGTAGGTATGGAAGAGGGATTGTTCCACGTAACCTACAAAGAGGCAGGCGTAGCTTGGGCCCATGCGGGTACCCATGGCTACCCCCTTTGTCTGTAGGAGGTGGGAGGAATTGAAAGAGAAGTTGTTGAGTGCGAGGACGAGTTCGGCTAAGCGGATGAGGGTATCAGTCGAGGGGGACTGGTCGGGCCTGCGGGACAGGAAGAAGTGGAGGGCCTTAAGGCCATCTGCATGGGGAATGCAGGTGTAGAGGGACTGGACGTCCACAGTAAAGATGAGGTGTTGGGGACCGGGGAATTGGAAGTTCTGGAGGAGGTGGAGGGCGTGGGTGGTGTCACGGACATAGGTAGGGAGTTCCTGGACCAAGGGGGAGAAAATGGAGTCTAGATAGTTGGAGATCAGTTCGGTGGGGCAGGAGCAGGCGGAGACAATGGGTCGACCAGGGCATTCAGGTTTGTGGATTTTGGGAAGGAGACAGAAGCGGGCAGTGCGAGGTTGGGGAACGATGAGGTTGGAGGCCGTGGGTGGGAGGTCACCTGAGGTGATGAGGTTGTGGATGGTTTGGGAGATGATGGTTTGGTGCTCAGGAGTGGGGTCATGATCAAGGGGGCGGTAGGAGGTGGTGTCGGAGAGTTGGCGTCTGGCCTCGGCGATGTAGAGGTCAGTGTGCCATACTACAACTGCGCCTCCCTTGTCCGCGGGTTTTATGGTGAGGTTGGGATTGGAGCGGAGGGCTGCACGTTCTGCGGGGGAGGTTGGAGTGGGTGAGAGGGGTGGAGAGGTTGAGGCGATTGATGTCTCGACGGCAGTTGGAGATGAAGAGGTCGAGGGAGGGTAGGAGGCCTTGGGGTGGTGTCCAGGAGGAGGGGGTGTGTTGGAAGTGGGAGAAGGGGTCAGTAAAGGGAGGGTTAGGTTCACGGTTAAAGAAGCAAGCATGGAGGC